TTGCCCCATTAATGAGCAACAAAACTAGCTCGTTACCGGTGAAGGTAAGGTTAAAGTCATTTTTGGGTAGTGGAGCGATCCAAATAATATTTGTTTAGCGTCGCCCTGCGCCCCACTCGGATGTGATATGCCTGAGTGACGACGAGCCTGGTCCTTCGGCTGCGAAGCGCGCAGCGAACTCACCAGCCGCGGCTTCACCATTGACTATGAAGAACAAACCTGTTGACAGTACTAATCGATGCAAGGTATGGTTCTTTCGTTGTTCCGCGTAACATTACTGTAACTCGGGCATATGGGTAGGCTGAGTGGTCGCGGCCAAGTGTTCTCTTTGTGCAATGTTAAGTTACTCCCTGAGAACTCGCTTCCAGATTTGTGATGCTGCGATGGCGACGCCACAAATTCAGTCGCTGCATGAGCTGCATAGAAATGGAATGGTGGGTTGTCTTTTGTCTTTAAAGCTGTGTTTTGAACATATTCTTCCAATCCTTCTTAACAAGGCTATTCTTATGTATTTGATTGGTTGTATCATCTGTTTAGAAATGGTTCTGTCTGGATTGCGCCAGCGCTCAAATGGACGAAGTGGAGGCGATGAAGCACTACTTCAGTACGCATGTCAAAGTTGCTGAACAGAGAGCTATTGAGAAAGGTATTCAATCTGGTCCTCCTTCTTTTCATTTTTGGCTCCTGAATGTGTTATCGCTTCATTTTTTTTGTGTTCTCGTTACGTCTAGTTCGTGTGAAGCTTGTGTATTACCGTTGCGTGTCGTTGCCATGCGGTGTGTTTTGTTTGATGCCACGTTGCAGGGCATACCATGCTTCATAAGACGCTTTTCCAGTAAGGGAGGCATTTTGGTGCAGAGCACTCGAGACATTCGAAACCACGACAATTTTTTTCTTCTATAATAAACTCTAGTCGAAATAATACTAACCTAGTTTCCAATAAGATATTGTTTCACAATAGCTCGCCACACTAGTTGAAATCTGGATTGCTCGATTCGATGCCACTTCCGGACATTTGCAAAGAACTCGTCATCAAATTTGTTCCTGTCAATCCGTCTCTAATGTTGACCGATTATTTGATGCGACAACATGCTGATTATTTGTTGCGTATGTACACCAACTGAAGGATCAGCAAAGTTAAGCCGTCCAGCATGAAGATTTTTGGTTCATTCACCCTGGAGCTCTTTTAGGCTCATGTCTACAATAGTTTTTTTTTCTTCAAACGTCCAACCCCAGATGCTGCTCATCATTCAAAATTCGAAGTAATGTCGAAGTAACGTAGCTTGTATTCGCAATCTTAAAGATTTCCTTGTGCAGAGTTGGGATCGCTGGAATCGTACGTACTGCACCAAAGTGCCCCTGTTTACTGGAAAGGCCCTAATCTACATTTGTTACATATTGGATTCCTTGAAACTATTTGAACCTTCTGCTTTGACCTGAAGCGTGGCATGAAAAACTTAGCCGCATAGCTGCCGCACGCGCCCGTAATACTAGTTTTACGTGAGACTCCCCAGGCTGATGCTTCTACATAATTTTGGGCGCTTTTCCAGTAAAATGGGGTAAACTTTGGTGCATTTTTTGTGTGTAGGGAGATCACAATTTTGCACGAGGAGTCCTCTACAGGGTCAACCGTCCGTTGGACAAAGTCCAACGAGGGGGTCGTATTCGGCCGACGAAAAGGGGGGTCGTATTCGCAAGGTCGGAGGCAGCGTCAATCCTACACCAACGGGGGTCGTAGTGTGACGCTTTACGCTTTGTGAGTGCTGAGAAAAAAAAAATTGCCGTTTCACCGTCCTTGGAGGGGGCAGATTCGAGGCAGAAGGGGGGGGGTCGTAAAATTTTTGAAATTTGTCCAACGTGACGGTTGACAATGGTCCTCTTTAGTTACGAACCGCTACGATTCTTTCCACCCCACTTCCTCTTTTTCATATTGGACGGCATTCGATGCTGGACAGTGTAAAGAATGATTGTGATCCGAGGGTTGAGGAATTTTTGCCTACGTCTAAGAGGGGGGTTGAGTTTTGGGTCAGAGGAACCAATCCATTTGTGCAGAGGCAGCCTCCCTATTTGTTCCTTCGCATCGCCCCCACTTTTATTAGATCATTGTTTGTGCTTATTTTCAGAAACTCTTGGCTCAGTGCATGAGGCAAATTTACTGTCGCTACGCGATTTCTCCTTATCAAACGACTGGCCAATGATAGAATCAATGACCGATGCTCAGTTCGATTCCTACCTTGCTGATCTTGGTTTACTTTGGCGTAACAGGCGATGTCCTAGTTGCAATCAACCTCGTACAGTTACGTCACAATCAGCAGAAGGAGGTCAGAAAGTTCGGCTGAAGTTCGAATGTCATCGGGCGACATGTCGGAAATCAAAAATGAAAAGTAAAACTGGGTATCTCATTGATACGTTCTTCGAGAATCTGAGAGGAAATCGAAAGAAAATATTCCTAGCATCGTATTATTTCATCAACGATATGGGATCGGCGGAGCATAGGTCGCGCTTATGTGGCGTCCACCTCAAAACAATGTACCAATGGGATCAGTGGTTCAGAGACGTAATCGTCGAAAGCATCGTGAGTAACGATGAGCCCACACTAATCGGCGGACCAGGCAAGGTTGTTCAAATCGATGTAACGACTTATATCGTGAAAAAGAAGCACAATGGAGGGACTCTGCTTCGACATTATTGGCTCGTAGGTGGCATAGAAGACGAAACGAAGAAGATGTTCATAGAAGTTGTCGGCAATCGAGATAGCCCAACACTTGAAGAAATTGTGATTCGCAATATCTCGGCTGGTACTACAATCAAAACCGATTCTTGGCACGGTTTTGAAAATTTGGGCAATATCGGTTACGTCCACGAAATCGTTGACCATGAGCTCAACTTTGGGGATCACGTGATTGATAAACCCCCGCAACGGATCCAAGTCGGCTTGGTCTCACATCAATCGTTCGATCAAGCAGAAGAATGGATCGACAGGAACGTTGCGAGATGACACTTTTATTGAAGCTGTCTGGAAGTGGCAACGGCCAGAAGAATTGAGATTTTACTCATTGTGGCAAGCTATTGCGAAACGATATCCTATTCAAAACTAGGTGATTATTACTTTTTCTAAACGTTTATAATAAAAGAAAAATTTTCCAGTAAGGGGGCATTTTGGTGCAGAGCACCCAAGCATCTGAAACCAAATACAATATTTTCTATTATTATAAACGTTTAAAAAAGTGACGCTCACCAGCCACTGGATGAGGGCTTACGCTCAATGTGGGGAGATCACGCTCCGGGGTGTGTGAACCACTTTCCACGAAATGTGAAAACCACTTTTGCACTGAAGAATTGGTTCACAAGATTCCCTGAAGCTTATTTCCTCAAGATTAGGCGGAAATTCTCATCTTCTGCCTCACACCTTTTTCTTCGCACCATCCTGCACCAAATGCTGTCCAACATAAAGCTTTCATGGAAATGGCGTAGAAACGAAGCCTGCAGCCTTTTGTAACTTTAAAGAAATTGTACAAATCGGGATCACCATACTTGCAGGAACTGTTGCACCAAAATGCACCCTTACTGGAAAAGCACCTCTATTTTGTTGAATAGAACCTCTTTGGCCTCGTGGTCAAATTGAAAGAGGAAAGCAAATCTCAAACTCCCTTTTCATGTTGAGGTCTTTTTATAATAGTTTTAATATTTCTAAGTACTGATGCTTTTGCTTCAGGATTATTGTTCCGCCCATTGCATTACGAACTGCAGTGTCCATTCCCGAAATGCCGAGAACCGTTGTCCACTTTAACTAATCTTCGTATGCATATAAACAACAAGCATCGAACTGAGACAGCTTATCAATCTGCGTAAGTTTTCACACTACTTTTCTGTTACACACGTGTGTGTTACCTTGTTACCGAGTAGGAATTTATTATTTGTTCTCTAATGGTGAGATCTGTTTTTTATGTGTGGTACGTTTAGCACATGTATGTTCCGCTTCTGCTCGCCGTTTGCTAAATCGAAACATGACGGGCAACACTCAACTTATGAGAGGTTTGTTTTTGTTTTTTGATGCTTATTTATTTTTTTCTCGTATACGGCATGTGATGTAGCATTGAGGTGAACTGCCTTGCAGGTAGGTTTTGATTGCATGAGCCCTAGCGACATCTTGCAGGGATCTTTCCTTATGTCATCTTTATTGCTTGGAGTTGTTCTGAATTTTAACAAACCTTTTTTAGTGTGAATGGTGTGGAGGGCACATGCTGTCCATTGTGTGGCACTCTGAACCAGTGGAACATTCAGGTTCGTGTCTGTTCGTTTTATGTTCCCTGATGAATTCTACAGAATTATTGATCACATTCTAATCTCAGAGCGAATGAAGTAGATTGCTTGGTTTCTCAATAATTTATTTTGGGCGTGTACCACGCATTTCGCTTTCACTCTGAATCTTTGCGGAACTAGTAAACGCCTTCTACATAAGACGTCATTATGTCTTGCTAGAAACCACCGATATAGACACTATTTAATTCGTCCCAAAAAGTCCCGAATCAGTTAACATTCCCAGGAGTACAATGTTTAATTGACTTGAGTGCGTTAATGTGCGAATACTTGGATATTATTGTGTAATTTGATTGGTTGTGCAACAAGTAAAACCAGCTTCCAGTTTCAAGTGATGCCCTAAACTATCTCGAAGTACCCTCATCCTACATATTCCATAATACCATTGTTTCCAGATGCCTGGCACTTCATATACGATGAGCCACATTGCTGTTCACGGGCTACGTCGGTACCATATGTGTCGCGATTGTTTCGTCTGCTTCAAGGGCGATTATGATGTAGGCTTTTAAAATGATTTCCTTGTTCTTATAATCTTGACGATCCACCTAAGACATTGCTTAATGTGGACAATGCAGGCGAATAGGTTATCACAGAAAAAAAAGAAACGTATTTGTTGTCCTCTTGTGGTCGGAAAAGCGCTTAGGCAGTAGAATCGATAGGAGTAATCTCTTGTTCGCTGATCTTTCCACCTTACGACTCCCCTATTTGCCTTTTTGCTTTTCGCCAATGGATGCATATTTAATCTTTTTTTTGCAATCTGCCTATTATCTGGGATAGCATACTGTGAGCAGTGCTTGGCCGCTAATGGGTCGCTGAATGCTTACGGTTCATGTGGAATACTAAGATTTTATTTCCAAAATTGAATTTTTGAATGAGAATTGAATTTCAGTGTGTTCGAATGAAAACCCATTTCGAAACAACGCATTGCACTCCGATACCAAAGACGAACAATCGCGAGTTATTGTGCAAGTTATGCAGAGAAGTGATCTTAAAGTCACATCTTGCTGAGCACGTCATTGAAAAGCATTTGGTGAGTGGTCAACTTTTCTCTTTTCTTTTTTTTGAATCTTTGATTTAAAATTTTTTGGACCCCATTTTGTTTTAAGAGTTCAGAGAGCTGACTAAAGTGG